AGAATTCAACAGGAAAGTGCCCAAAAGGAAACATTCCTGGAACTACACTTGGCCAAGGGCAGGGACAAGGTCATGCCTGGTTCTGTGACTTTTCACTCCTCTCCTTCCTGATCTTGCAGAGCCCTGGCAGCCAATGGAGTGCTGAAGCCTGCTCCTGCCAGTGTGTGCATTCCTTCTCAAGTTCACAGTCAGGGGCATGACATTAACTAAACCAAGAAGCCAAACCCACTGCCCTTGAGTGGATTTTGATTCAGGGTAGAACTGTCCTATAGTGTTTCCAAGGCCGTAAATCTTTATGAAAGCAGACTGTCTCTTCTTTCTCCCTCAGCAGCTGGTGAGTTTGAACCGTTAACTTTTGGGTTAGAAACTAAGCATGTATGCATTGCACCACGAGGGCTCCTTCAACAGCACACTGGTAGCTTAAAATCAGCTATGGTGAAAGGGGTTCCAGGGTAGGAATCAGCACAGGGGGCACACCAGGGCTGTTTTTCTCCTGAGAGCCTGTTGTTAAGCACTGGCCGGCACAGCACTGGGCCTGCCTGTCTCTGACAGGTGAGCGCCTACCTTTCCCAGAGGCAGAGGGATGAAACAATTAACCCTGACCTTCATAGAATGCCAGCCATCCTTATTCCTCCTCCTGCAGGGAGTCTGAAGCCTGCTTCTCTTGTGTCTGTGTGTTTTCCCAAGTTCAACTGAGCCCAGTGAAGACTGGAATCTTGAGCAGCTTCAATGTAAATATTATCATTATGATTCGTGGTGCTCCTCAAGAGGCATGTCTGTTGCTAGCACATTCTAAGACCCCAGAACGTTTGTGCTTTTGGCTCAGTAAGAATAAAGATCTCAAGATCCTTGTAATTGGTAAAGTTAGGCAGGAGCAAGTTTGTCTCGGGGGAGGGGAACCTCATCTCATACAGTAATTATTGTCCAGCCTAGATAATCTGTTGGGGGAGGAGTCAGTATAGCCTCATGCCATAGGCCCAGCCCTTGAAAAGATAACAACTATAACCAGTTGCTGTTGAGTCAATTCTGACCCCTGGTGATCCCGTATATGCCAGAGTAAAACTCCTTGGAGTTTTCAGTAGCTATGATCTTTTGGAAACAGATTGCCACACCTTTCTTCTGAGGTGCCTCTGAGTGGACTCAAACCAATAGTATTTATGATAATCAGTGGAGCTCGATAACCGTTTGAACCACCCAGAAACTCCTAATGATACTTGTACCATTTATTGGTATCCTTCTATATAAATTTGGCTCTCAATTATAAAAAAAAGGACCTCTCCCTCTCTCAGCCTTAACATACACACATGTACACACATGCTCATGTATACATGGAACATTCACTCTGCTGGACTTGGACTTAAGATAGAGCTCAGTACCAAGATAAACAATAATGTGATTAAAAACAAAACAAAACTCTGGTGGGGGTGGTGTGCCACGGAGGCGGTTCCGACTCACAGTGACCCTATAGGGTTTCCGAGGCTATAAATCTTTATGGGAGCAGAAAGCCTCAACTTTCTCCCGCAGAGCAACTGGTAGATCTGAACTGACCTTGCAGTTAGCAGTCCAGCTCATAATTTACTATGCTACCAGTGCGCCTTAAAAAAAACCCACCACCAACAAAAACAACAAACCTAAGTCTCTGTTAATAGTCAAAGCTAGTACTATCATAATTTTACACTTCAAATGTTCTTCTAACAAAGAAAAGACCTTTGGGGAATGCCCTATGCCCAAACATTAAGGGAATAAATCTGATAGCTATGTCCAGGCAGTCGGCATAAAAGTATGGTCACTGAAAGTCCTATGAGAGAAAACACCATGTCCGGCAGCCATGCTATAGACTAGTCAGTGACAGGACCCAGACCCATGACCGGACTGGGAGTGCAGCCTCAGAGCCACTCCAAGCCGCTCATGACCTTGGCCCAAATTGTGGGTTCTCCAAGTAATGATAGGATTGTGAACACAGCAAGATAGCGGGACACATGAGTTTCAGGCTTTTTTAGACCAGGCATGGGGGAATGAAATTAACCTAGCCTGGGTTGGTTGGTCTAGCCAATGTTTTTGCACCTGCAGGTCTAAGATAAAAGTTCCTGAGATAGGAAAATTGGGGAAAGAAAAAGAGAACATGACTCTTTGGGGGTGACAGGGTGTCCTTCCTATTCATTGCCTCTTAAAGTGTCTGTCCCGGGCAGCTCATCAACTCCATCCCAACAGGTACGCTCTGAAGCAATTGGCGCTGTGCAATGTCGGGGTAGGAACTAGAGGAACCACCCCAAAAACCCACTGCCATTGAGTCAATTCCAATGCATAGAGATCCATACGGATAACTGCCCCTTATGGTTTCCAAGGCTGAAAATCTGTACGGAAGCAGACTACCACATCTTACTCCTGCAGAATAGCAGGTGTGTTCAAACCACCAACCTATTGGTTAGCAGTTGAGTGCTTAACCACTGCATCATCAGGGATCCTTATAAAACCAAAAACCAAATGCGCCGCCATTGAGTCAATTCTGACTCATAGCATCCTTGTTTCTGAAGCTGTACCTCTGTATGGAGCCATCAGCCTGACTTTTTTCCAGCTGAGCAGCTGGTGGGTTTGAACTGGCAATCTTTCAGTTCACAGTCCAGTGTTCACTTTGCCTCGTTGCTCCTTCTTCTGGGCCCTGGGCACCTGCAACCCACAAGTCAAATGACCCGACGCTTCTGGCCTCAGAGAGCCATTCTGATTTACACTGCCTCCCTCCTAAAGTTTGACTAGGCCCACGTAAGAGCACATGGCTGAAATGATGCTTAGGGTAGGCCTGTCATTTCACTTCTCATCTCCTCAACCTAAGTACAGATCATACGGAGCTCTGGGAGGAGCTCCAAAATTGTGCTGCAATTTTACGGCAGGAAAATATTATGTGATAAAGAATACTGATCAAAAGGGGCAAAATGTAGACCAGAACTTCAAATTCTCAGCAACTCCTGAATTTGTGGAGCTATGGAGGCTTGATGAAGCCTTGAAACTATTGCCCTGAGATCATCATTAAACTTTAAACCAAAAATATCCCCTAAAGTCTTAAAACCGTTTAGCTTAACGAGCTAAGAATGCCTGCCGTGAACAAAGAATGTCTGCTTCTTTCAAGAGGTATCTATATTGGATGAAAGTGGCAATGGAAACTGGAAAGATCTGATAGGAAACTTAGGGGGCAGTGAGTTTATGTTAGTGGGGAAGGCACAACTCAGAAAAGGAGGGAGAGAATTGTTATACAGTTCAAAGAATGTAAGTAGTGCTGTTGAATTGTACGTGTAGAAAGTGTTGAATTGGTCTGAGTTTTGTTGTATATATTCCCGACAACAAATAAAATGAAACAAAAAATACAACCCCCGCAATATATATATTAAGTTGAAATAAATTGGCCATCACCAAATATTGGAGCGCTTGTTAGGTAAGCCGTGCCTTAGCAGTGCTAACATCTTAGTATAGATAGCATTTGATCTTAAAGTGACTCACCATGACTGCTATTTATTTGGTATCCTTTTCCTAATAGCTCTTGATCACAGCCATGAGTAGAGACTTTGGGCATTTGCAGGGGGAACAGCCTAGCTCTGGACTGACTATAAGGGCCGTACTGTGTAATCCTGGGAAACATAATTTTATCTCAGAGCTTCCAAAGCTGGTGTGTGGGAGTGAGTTACGTAGCTAGTGAGTGAGCCTAGCTGACTGACTGTCCATCGCCAGATTTGAGAAGTGGCTTTGTGGTTCTCTACTTGTTGAGTGTGCAGTGATTCTCCTGCAGAAAATGACCTGGAAAAGAGTGTTGTGGATGGAGAAGAAAAAATAAAGACTACCAGACAATGAATGGCTTCAGTGAGTCCGTAGCATTTTAGAATACATTAAGGAGTGAAATACCCAATTCAGTGGTGGTTCAGATCTACAACGTGAATGAGTTCCCTGCATGCTCTCCACAGAAATAAGAAAAGGCAATTAACAAAAGTGTTTGAGTGTTCCCGCCAGCACTTTTTAAAAATGGACTTTCTTGTGGTATCTGTATAAATTATTTAGATTCAGAAGGGGGTCAACTGAAAAGTTGCAGGTATGTTTTCCTGCACTGTATGGTGACAATTATGTGCTACGATTGTGTTTGCAATGTGGAATTTTCATGGTCTCAGAAGAGATTCTTAGAGAATTCCAAGGAACTACTTCCCCGCATATTTGTTTGGTTGATGCTTGACAGTTTCCAAAGTGATTTCGTGTTCGTTCTCCAGCGATGTTACTGGCAGAAGTTAAGAGAACCAGTGGGAAGGATAAGAGGCCAGCCAGACCTGAGTTCTCGTCAGGGCTCTCCCACTTAGTCTGTTCTGCTTTAGTAAATCCCTGTGGTCCCCAAGTCTCTGGGTTTCCATCTGTTCCATGAAGAAATGAATGGCACACTGCTCACTTCACAGTCCTGGTAAGGACCGAAAGAATGTGATTGTTACTGTTGTCAGCTGCCGTGGAGTCGGTGGCTACTGTGGAGCTAACTCTTTTTTGTGCTGAAGGGACATAGAGGTGACTATTCTCACATTTGAGACTACGGGGCCCTGCAGTCTTGAACTCCAGCTGTACCAAGCATACCAGAGCTGTGAGGAAACAGTCTGACCCAACCCACTGCCCATATCTGGTGGGCAGGCATTTTTTCCTCCCTCCCTGGGTCCTGTTTTCTGCAGTCAAAATGAACTGGACAGCAGTAGCAGAACCAGCCAGCTCTTTTACAAAATTCCCACTGAGTCTCAACAGGCTCCATTTTATCCCCTGAGGTCTGTCCCTACATTCTGGCCTAGACAAGGAGAGGTGAGGGGGATATAATGGCAGCTGGCTGCTTACCAAAAGGAGCAGAGGGAGAGAAGAACAAGAAAGGCAAAACACTCTCACAAATAGATCAGAATGACACACTATTTAACCTAATTACCTGCAAAGCCACATCCAGCCATTAAGGATCCATATTCTGTAATAGAATTTCCTGCTATGGAAATACTCACCCACGCACAGGATGTTGAAGCAGAAGCCCTGGTTGACTGACTTATTCACCAGCTGGTCGGGCAAGCTGTCAAACCCCACATGTCCAGCCAAGGGGAGAGTTCGGCAATCTTCACCCTAAATTGAAAAGGGAAGGAAGGGAGAAAAATGAAAAGGTGCTTCCAAACAATCAGGGTCTTGCTCTCCATGCTAGGAAGTAACACCCACCCAGGCCCCGTGTGTCATCTCTTCCTTCAAAACAAAGTGGCCTGTCAGCTTGGAAATCATGGCGTCTTGGGCACAAAGTCGATTCTGACTCATAGGGACTCCATCTGCCACAAAAGGTTTCCAAGGATGTAATATTTACAGGAGTATACCACCAGATCTTTCTCCAACAGAGCATCTGGGTGGGTTCAAACTGTCAACCTTTCTGTTAGCAGCCAAGCACTTAATGAGTGTGCCACCTAAGACCATTACATCTGTAATGTGAGATGTTACCTGTAATGTGAGATGTAATGTGAGATGACACACTTGACTGCTGACTGATGCAAGTCTACCAGAGGCACCTCAACAGAAAGTCCAGGCAGGCAATCTATTTCCAAAAAAAATCTGCCATTGAAAACTCTATGGGGTCGCCATGAGTCAGAACTGACTCAATGAGAACTAGTTTTGATTTGGATCTTAGAAGGTGATTGGGAGACTCAAATGTACTAATAGATGTGAAGTTTAGCTTAGCACAAGCATAAGTGATCAGTAAATATTACAAAGAGACTTTCAAAAGTAATCAATTCTTGGTCCTTGGTCACCCTTCAGGTCTGGAACTGAACTCATCCCTGGGGTTCAATTTTCAGCCAAGCAATAGATAGGTATATAGGGGAGAGCCCACAACAATAGTGAGGTACACACATCATAGAATGGTCAGTCATTTGAGATCAAAAGGGCTGCATTGACCAAAGGACACATTTCAAAAGGGTAAGGAAAGAAGAAGGAATGGAAACAAGAAACGCAGAGAAGAAATGGGATAAATGATGTTACACTGCATTGCAATCAAGATGAAACAAAGTGTTTGATATATTGAATGCAAAGTGATGATCTGCTCGTGAAGTCTTCACTCAATTCACAATAAAAAAATGTTTACAAATAGTAATCAGGACTCATGGAAAGAGAAAGGCTGTGTGCTGGCAGCCAGAAGGCAGGCTTGCAGAATGTGCCCTTTGGTTGTTTAAATGATCATATGTTCCTGAGTGTTTTGTGTACGTTAAAATAACAAACAAACAGAGGGAATAGAAGCAAATACTGTTAAATGATGATGCATGGAATAGAAGTAAATACGGTTGCATTGCAGTGAAATGAAATACGATAGGATGAGTGTAAAACTGATGTTTTCCCGTATAAACTACCACTCAATTCACAATAAAAACTTACCCCCCCAAAAGTAATCATTTTACTTTTTAGGACATTTGGGGGATTTACAAAGAAGGTGAAGGAGCACTGGCAGTGCTGTGGGTTCAGCTGCTGACAGTTTGGTGGTGCAGACCCACCAGCCACTCTACAGGAGAAAAGGCTGTCTGCTCCTTTAAAGATGCGCAGTCTCAGAAACCCTATATAGGGTTGCTCTGAGTCAGAATCGACTCCATGGCAGTGAGTTTGGTTGGCTTGGGTTTGAACAATGGTGGCAGTCAGTAGAGAGTACAAGCATAGGTTCTGGAGTCAGGCAGTCCTAAGTTTGAGTCCCATCTTCACCACTTTACGTTATAGTTCCCACCTCACAGGACTGCTGTTAGGGTTATATAAGACAATGTACCTCAGGCAGTTAGCATAACGCCTAGCATATACAAGTGTTTCCAAAAGTTTGTGGGAAAAGCCCATTATCTTCTAATTCCATTATTCCTCAACTTTTTTGAGGTTCCTTCATACAAACATATCTTTGGATTTGGTTTCAGACCACCAAAATAAAGTGAAAGTATCCCAATAGAGCAAGTCACACAATTATTTTTTGGTTTCCCAGTACATATAAAACTTACTTTTACATTGCACTGTGGTTCTATTAGGTGTGCAGCAGTGTTATGAAAAAGTCTGAAATCTTGTGAGAATGATCCAAATTTGACACAGAGACAAAGTGAGCAAATGTTGGAAAACTGGCACCGAGACTTGCTCGACATAGGGTTGTCACAAACCTTCAATATGTACAAACAACAACAAAAACAAAAGCCACTATCTGTGAAGCACACTAAAGAGAGGCACAATCCAATGAAGCCTACCTATAGTAAGCATCCAATCAGAAGTTGCTATTGGATGTCAGCTTTGAGTTAGCTCAAAGGGAAAAGACACAATGGAATTGGGCCTTTGTGATCTGTAGGGTTGTCATTGGCTGATTTTCAGAAATAGATAGCCAAGCCTTTCTTCCTAGCCCATCTTAGTCTAGATGCTCAGCAACATAACAACACACAGATGGCTGCACTTGAGGTGCATTGGCTGGGAATCGAACAGTAAATGCCTGCCACTACCATCGAGTTGACCTCATAGTGACCCTATTGTTGTTATTATGTGCCGTGGAGTCAGTTCCGACTCATAGCGACCCTGTACAGGGTTCCCAAGGCTGTAAATCTTTACAGGAACAGAAAGCCTCCTCTTTCTCCTGCGGAGCAGCTGGTAGTTTCGAACTTCTGACCTTGCAGTTCGCAGCGCAACTCGTAATCACTACGCTACCAGAGCTCCTTATCAAACCCTAAGGTGCAGTTCTACTCTGTCCTATAGGACTGCACCTTAGGGTTTCTGAGACTGTCAATCTTTACAGGAGCAGACAGCCTCATCTTTCTCCTGAGGAGTGGCTGGTAGGTTCGTACCGCTGACCTTGCAGTCAGCAACCCAACATCTACTCCATGAATGCACCGCAAGGTTATCCTTCCACTCAAACTGCCGAACTGACAATGATATGGACCTGTGGCTCTCTCTAGCTAAAGGAGCTGTCACTAGGCTTCCTCTGGCTCCCTTGACTCCATAGGGGTTAGCCAAGCCACTCCCAGCCCTAGAAAGCAAAGGGCCTTGGCTTTGCCTGCAAGGTCCCAAAGCTTCATATTGTTAATGGTTTTACAAAACAGGGATTGCTTCAAACGGGGCACGTTTCCAAGGAGCCAGAGGAGAGGGAGAGAGGACAAAAGGGGCCTGCTTGTACTTGAGACAACTTGCCAACTGTCAACAGCTACGAGGGAGGGAAGAGCAGACGGGAAGCTGGAGACAGTCGGAGTAGACAAGAGGAGTGGGCTATGAAACGAGTGGGGGTTTCTGGTAGGTGGGGCAACACCAACATTTCTGTAATCACTGCCAAAAGCAATCCAAGAAGGGCATGGTGAGTGCCAGGAGGCCTATGCCAACATCCCAGGCTGAGCAAGAGGACAGCTTTTCTGCTGGATTGGACCCGCTTTTAAACTAGAGCCATACTTTTACACTAGAGGGTCTAGGGGAGGGTGGTGGGGAGCCATTCAGCAGCTGACAGAGAACCGGTTCCCAGATATCCTCTTCTCCCAGCTTGGAATCCCACTCCCATTGGCGTCACCTAATTTTCCAAGAACGACAGGGCTGGTGTTGGTGACTGCCATCTGGCAAGTTCATTACCCACACACATCTCCCTCCCACACTCCCAGTACAGCATTCTCGACAGACGACCATATGCCATCCTTCAGTCTTTGTTGGTAGATTCCGTGCTCCAGAGGGGCACCTGAAGACAGCTGAGCTGTATGAGTGGACCACATCACTCAGGGTTTTGTCCTACAAATCAACCCTTCTTCCCTCCCTGCCCCATCTTTCCATCTTCTTTTTATGAAAGCAAGCAGAGTCAGATGCAAGATTCCCACAGTTGCTTCTTGGTCCTCACCACTGCCAGAGAGACATATGCTTTTTCAATGGAGCCTCCTCCGCAGCAGGCATCGGAAATTGGGATGGACCCAGAGTGACGGTTTCCTGAACCATGTTTTATCACCCTGGCTGCCTCTTCCTGTCTCCAAATTCAGCAACATGAATCTTCAAGTGCTCTAAAATCTCTGATCCAAGTGCCAAAAGAAGAGGGCAGTGGTGAGAGCCCAGCACCTTATTCTTACTTCACTGTCAGAAACTTACCAGCCACCTCCCATTCTCTCCCACCTAGTACAGTGGTGTTGTTGTCAGCCCCTAACTCATGGTGACCCCAACTGGGATTTTCATTGGCTGGCTTTCGGAAGTGATTGCCAGACCTTCCTTCCTTCCTTTCTAGTTCATCTTAGGCTGGAAACTCCACTGAAATCATGAGATGCACTGGTCAGGAATCAAACATGGGTCTCCCACATGGAAGGCTATAAAGTGCTATAAAGCGCCTTTAATGGCAGAAGGAAGAGTCTATAGGCTTTAGGCAATGGATTTAGAGGATTTTGAGTGCTTTAGAAGGATCATTCCAGCATCTGGGTGGTTGATTTGTTGGAGAAAGGAGAGACTAGGGACAGAGAGACACAATAGGAGTTGACTCCAATAATTTTGAACTGGCAGAATGGCATCCAGACTCTGTGACAATAAATGCTGGTCAAAGTGAACTGACCTGTCTTGGACTGGTAAGGGAGGAACAAACTTAAGAGATGTCCTAAAGGAGGGATGGGATTCAATGAGTGATTGGGTACAGGGAGTGAGTGAGCAATCAAAGCTGATTGTGAGGTTCTGAGCCTGCGAGCTGGGAATTGACAGCATCATGGATAGAAAGAGGGGAGCCAGGAAAAGGAGCTTATTTAGCAGGGAAGTTGCAGAGTTTGGTTTTGAATAAGCTATTACTAAAAAGAAGTCTCTAATTGGTACAAATGGCTGAGTACTAGACTACTAACTGAAAGGTGCATGGTTCAAACCCACCCAGAAGTACCTTGGAAGAAATGTCTGGCAACCTACTTCCAAACGATCACAGAAGAAAAAAAAAAAAAAAAATCACACCATGACAGCTATACGGTGCACAGTTCTAGTCTGCAACACAAGGGGTTGCCATGAGTTGGAACTGACTCAAGGGAAGCTAATTTGGGTTTTTTGTTGTATTACTTTAAAAATCACACTTACTTTTTATTTTAGAAAAATGATCAATGTTCACTGTATACATTTCGGAACATATGGAAAATTATAAGGGAGGA